CACGTAAAGTAGGACACCACAGCCTGACCTGATTTTGCCCATACATAACCCTACTGACATCAGTGGGAGCTGCACATATGCAGTCAGGAGATGACATTTGCCCACTCTTGGCTGCTCTAGGATATTCCTGCTTGCCTGATAAATTCTATTATTTCATCATGCCATATGCAGGTGAGGGATACAGCAAGTAAAGCTGAGCAAACACAGCTCAGCTCCCCGCCTGTTTGAAGTTGTGGAAAGACTCCTTTTGACGCTGGTGGTTGTTGGATTGAGCCCACAGTACACAGTGATTCACAATCATTTTCCTCAATGAAAGCAACCAGGTTAGTTTGTTGTTATTTGTGGGATCACATGATTCATGATTTACGAATCTTTGAATGTCAGTTGGACATTCTGATGCCTGTGAACATCAGAATGCAGCTTCCACTGTGTTAGCACAAAATGGTTATTCATACAAAATGCTGTGCCAGAACAGACTTGTTTGATACTGTACACTTATTACACTCCTGTTTCTAGAAAAACTCTGCAAGTAGAAAGGGCTCCATTTGGCAAAGCCAACAAAGCTTACACCAAAACAGTGACTATTCCAAAGGAATTGTTCATGAGCAATCCTTAGACTAATACTTATTTGCATTCATCACAGTCCAATAATTAAAACCAGTGCTTACTGCTGTAGAAAACAGCACGGGGATGACTTACAGAGAAAAGGCTAGATGGGCAAGTAATGTTTCAGCTGTCTCTGCTTGGTGCAGGCTGCAGGAGCAGAAGCAGAGCTCGGCAGAAATCTGAATGTCCCAGATTTTGAATCTGGGATTTCTTAAGGCTAATCTTGCTTTAACTCTTGGGTCTGTTTTCCCTCCAGAAAAGAATATGAAAAGAATATAGTAGATGGAACATGATTCTGCAATACTTAGGCAAAATGTTAGCATGTTTAACAATACCAGTTACCCAGAGGGAGGGTGCCTTTTCATCCTTGGAGACACATAGGACCTGACAGAAGGCGGCTTCCAGCAGCCTGTTCTCAACTGGCCCTGTATGGGCCAGGGTTGGACCCGGGACCACCAGAGGCCCCTTCTGTTTGAGAAAAGCAATGAAATATTTTAGTGCCTCAAACTAACCAAATCAAAACTGTACCCTTCTTGTAAAATAAGCTTCCTCCACGCAGCAAAACCCTATGACGGGTCTGTGACATAGCGCCTGTGTGTCGTATCAAAAGGATGTTGCTGTAATTGCATGCAGATTTATAATCCATTCCTTTGCAGCAAATGTCATCAAAAGACTCAAGACTTGGAATGATACAGCATTCCCAAGTATATTTTTCCTGTGAGCACATCCCCTTTTCAAGGGAGACATCATGGTGTCCCAGAGAGCTGGTCCAGATAAGCATGGGGTGATTAAGGGGTCCCCATCTGTCCCTAGAGCTGAGTGAGCTGGGCAGAGCTGCACAAAGCGCATGGTGCTCCCACCGCATCCCATGTCCGAGTCCTCTTGCCCTTGGGCAGCAGCCAGATGCGAGTTTGGTGGCCAAGAGACCCTCTGCAGTCATGTCACACACATCACCCCTTGTCACCTCTCCTCCTCGGTAATACAAACGGACATTTGTTTACACCAAACTGAGCAAATCTAATATTTATTTCACATTTAGGTCACAGGACAACAAAACAAATATTTTTACCCCAAACACATGTCCTGACCTTGTGGTTTCACTCCCGATGCGCAGCAGTATTTGCTTTCACTTAAACTGGAATTAAAATAAGCTACATAGGATCCTGCACTGGGCTTTAAGGCAACAGCTCAACTCCCTGTGCACCCGGATATGCTCTGGATGCTGCTCCTAATTTTACTGGAACCAGGACAGGATTATTAAATTCATATTTCCTGGATTTACTCACTTCTTTTCAGGCCTGAAAACCAAAATTATTTTAACATTCCAAATGCAAAATATTAAAAATTATATTTAAAAATCTCAGCATAAACAGTGCCTGCAGGCCTCCTGAAAATCTGAAACAATTCCATTGTTTGTAAAGATGCACCTTTCAAAGATTATTTTTTCCCTTTCATCCTTGTAGGCCAAGGATCGCATTAGCACTGCTTCACTGAAAGCTCTGAAATGCTCTGTACATGGAAAATTGACCTTTTCTGGGGTAAAGTTTGCACTACTTTCAAGGAAGAAACTGCCTAAGAGAGAATTTTAAAAGCTTAGGAAATCTAGTGGTCCCTTCAGGTTTGGAGTAATGAGTAAAATAAAATGCTCTTTCTGATTTCCTCCCCCCTGTAATTGAAATAGATGTTGTACTGGAGCTGCAAAACTGCTGCCAAGTTATCACCCAACTGAGCTGATTTACATTGCCTGCTCAACCTCGGCGTGATGTAAAATGCCCAGGATGGCCAATGTAAACTTATTTATAGCCTGGGAGGATATGCTGAGGATACAGGGATAGTATTATATATGTATCCATATATATGCCTGTATACATATAAAGGGGTATAGCTAAGCAAATGTTCGCATCTGAGGCTGTGGCATGGCATGGCTACCTGGCTGTGAAGGACCTGGGTTTTAACTGCACTGTAGATGTGATCCTCTTTTATGGGCTCACCCAAGCTTCCCTTCAGTTGGTTTACTTGGCATCTGAGCACTAAGTCATTTTGTGAAAGACCAGTCAGGTAAACACAAATGAGCCCCAGTCTCATTAGGGTCACTTGTCACGTTGGTTTGGATGGAGAAGGCTGGGGAGGACAGGCATCTGCTGGTGGGCTGACCTTCAAGGCAGCTCTGTCTCTCCACAAAACCTTTCCAAATGAGTTGGCTTTGCAGAGCTACCCAGTATTTCACAGGTAAATGATAGACTGTCTACATGGCTCTAGGTGGGAGAAAAGGGAAGTTGTCACCATCACGTGAAGTGGCACGGGCACAATTCTTGCCATACTTGAAGGGTCTCATGCCAAATCCCACAGGACCACACCCCATTTCAATGTCACCGGGGGAAAAAATGCAGATGTGATAGGAATGCTGCCACATAACAGACATTTCAGGAAGTCTCTGTAATTTCTTTAATTATTCCGACAATAGAGCACAAGGATAATAGCTTCAAGTACATTCTTATACATTATTTTAACAGTAATAGATATGTATTTAGTCATAAACTATTCTGTAGCCACCACTATGTGTACATTTTATACAAACTATTGCCATACTTGGACCCTGAAAATGGACAGTGACATCTCCTAGACGTTTTGCACAATGTCATGACAGTACATCCTTCATATGAGAGCTGTAGCTATAAGCTGGATTGGTCCATCTAACGAAGCACTTCTAATGCATATCACGGAGGGGTGATTTGGATGTGAGGCACTGAGGGAGGAGATGTAATAAATATATGGTGAGAGGGAGGCACACAGTCACTTGAAACAGGTGTGATGGAGAACACAGCACAGCATTTCTTTGCTTGGTAAAACAGATCGATCCTAGTATTAAACAGTATCTTAGCTTCTCTCACACCAGAAAGCTCTGAGCTCATCTTGGCTATTCAGTGAAAATTAAATACAGCAATGTCTGACACAGTTCCCTACCAAGGCATGTACTCTACCCTGACACAAGTGTGGTTTCTCGTCTAATGGTCTTCTTCATCTCAGTTATGATTCAGGGCAAAGACCCCAAGCCAGGGGCTTGAAGTTTGATCACTGATATCCCTGAACACCTCCACCACCTGACCTCTGGAGAAAGTAGACTCCAGCACACTCGTTTTTGAGTGTAAGGCTTTATGAAATGCCAGCCACCATTCAGAGATAGGGCTAGAAGAGCTCAGATGCTCAGACACTGCCGTATGAAGACCATACTCTTACAGGAGAGACTCATTTGTTCCACAATCACAATTTTACATGCCCCAAACCAGCCAAGTTTGCAGCCCCCATTACACAGGCAGACCCCAAAGACACAGAGGTGTCAGAGTCCAAGCCGGGGTGGGCAGCAGGTCCCCAGCACCCACCGGGATGTACACAGTCCCCCATGACGTACACGGTACACCATGTGGGCATTAGGGTGGCTTGGTTCCTATCCCGGCTGCATGATGGTGGGGTTGCACTGAAGTCTCACCACCTCGGCCATGTCCGAGCTTCAGAGATGGAAGTGGCTCTGGACTAGAAGCTGCTGGGAAGGAGACACCACATCCATCTGTTAGGGCTTGACACGGTGGATGCTCATGCATGCTCATGCCTGGGGCTCTGCCACCAGCTCCAGGCACTGCTTCAGAAGCTCCCTGGCTTTCAGCATGGAAGAGCATGCTATACGCTCTCTGGAGGAGGCCCCAGGCAGGGACATCCCAGGAGGTCAACGGAGCTGCCATCCATCCTGGCGGAGGACACGGCTGCATCTCTGGAGCAAAATGCTGCCCGACAGATGAACATCCTACACCAGCGAGTAATGGAAACTGAAGAAAAGGTGAGAAGACATTCAAGGAAAGCTCCCTTCCGGCACGGTCCTGTCGCAGACGCGCACGCACACGCACACACAATGTTTTGCAAAATTGTTAAAGGGATCCTGGAAACCCTCTGGGGAGGAGAACATGGTGCAGCAGAACCTCACTCATTGGCACCCATTGAGAACGAGCCCCTTGGTGGGGCTTGGGGCTGGGACCAGCCAGGGGGTGCATCATTGGCCCCACCACTCAGATCCTGGAACACGTCTTCAGTACTTCTCCCATCGATGGCTTGGGATGGACTTTGGTGTGTCACAGCTAAGGAACATCTCTCATGAGAAATGAACCAATTTTTATCCCTTTTTTTTCTTGTTTAGCAAAAGGTGTTTGTTCTTTTTTTGGTGGCTCCAAGCCTGGCAACGTTACTCAGGCAATATGGCCAGTAAGATCAAGTGGTCATCTCCTTCTTCCAGCGTCAGCCACATGAATCTTTGTTAATTCATCAAAGGCAGTGTCTCTCCCCCAGATTTCCATCTTCTGGGCACCCAAATTAAAGCTGATTAAAATCCTGGTGCTGCCTTAAAATTAACATGCTTCAAAGGGTGAACGTGATAGAACACCCCCATAAATCACTTTTCAGAGTAGTCTGTGGTCTCCGGACCAGATCAGGAGGTGGACACGGAGCTGGGACTGGAGCTGGAAGAGGGAAACATTGCCTAAGCATGGACGGAGAGCCGGGGCTCCAGTGAAGGGAAACCACGTCTCCCAGTAGCTCGTGCAAATGAGTGAGGTTCTACTGTTAGTACAAGAGATTCCAGGTTACGTGCAGATGTGATGGATTAGTTTCCTTAATTAAAGTACCAAAATTAAAAGTTATAAGAAACACATCTAAATAAAACAATGGGCACTCCTTTAGGCAACGTTTCCTAAACCAATAAGCAAAAAGGGGGAAAAAAAATGGGATGCACCAGGAACTCTTAATTATGATATACTAACCAGACTGTGCATGGCACATTTTATTTCTATAAAACTATTAAAACTATTACAAAATATTCAAAAAATACATTTTAGTAAATTTACAGCAGTTATTTCTCAATTTATTAATGCAAAACATCCTTTTCTTCCCTCTGTACAAACTATCGTCTCCATCGTCACAGAATCGCCGCCATGTGCGCTTTTTAAAAAATATTATTTTCTAATAAACTTTTTTTTTTCTTTTGAAGTTAAAAATAACAAAGTTTCTTATGGTTTTTGCAAATAAAACGTTGGTGTAACAGTCTTGACTTCCATGAACGTGGCCAAATGGTGTTTTTTTTACAAAGCAAAACATGGAAAACAATACAGGAAATGACGTTACATTTGAAACTATTTAAATTAAAATAATATATTCTCAATATTTTACACTATTTCAAAAAATGAAATGTGATTCAGTTAAGTATTGATCTCTCAAAAAAATCTAATTTACAATTCTGTGTATAAAAATATAATTTACGGACCCCCATGAAGTTTGTCTTTTTCAGTGTGTTTGTTTCTTTGCTTGCTTGTTTTTTAGGCTTGCTGAAATGAAGGAGCAATGGAATGGAGAGGTGGGAACGTACAGAACTTTGCTTTCTGAAAGTCAGGACACACGTGACATGTAGAAAAATAGACTCTGCGCAGTTTTGCTTGGCCTCACAAAATAATTTTTTCCCCTATGAGTACAGTTCACATGATAATAAATTATCAAAGAAACTATTTAAGGCTCTTGAAGGTCCGGTTCATATCATTTAAAACATCTATTCAAAATACCAAAGAAATAAATATCCAGGAGAGGAGGAAAAAAATAAACAAAACCAACAACAAAACAACAAACAAAACAACAAAACAAAAGAACAAATAAAAATATATATATATTTATAAACTAAACAGAACAGAACTTCCTGGGGTCTTTGTTTCCCTTAAAGTCTACTTTGGACTGTCCTACTTAATTATTATTATTTTATTATTATTATTTTTAAGTCTTAATCCGTGCTCTTTTAAAAATATGTAATTTTTTTTCTTTTTTCTTTTTTTTTTAGGTTTTTCTTTTCTTTTTTTCTTTTTTTTTATTCCTTTTTTCCTCCTTTTTCTTTCTCTCTCTCTCTCTCCCTGTGTGTCTCTGTCTCTCCCTTGGAGGCTGACTGGTGGCTGGGGCAGCACAGGATGCTCTCAGCTGGACGGCACCACCATGCCTAGAGGGTGCAGAGAGTCACTATCCAGCACCCAGCTGCCAATGCGGTAGAGGAGGCGAGAGTACCAGTGGATGCCAGGGGAGGTGGGGGCATCCGTGGGAGTCCCCCCGCTGGAAGGGCAGAGGGTGGCCAGCATCCCCTGGAGCAGGCGGAAGGGAGCGAAGGCCCAGTGTGCCCAGCTGTGCTCCTCAATGACGGCGTAGCAGGAGGCCAGCACCCGGTTGATGAGGATGGTGCCCTGGGCAGTGAGTGGGGCATATGCTCCCGAAGCTTCCTCTCGCAGTGAGACGCTGTGCACGGCCGCTGGCAGGAGGTGCTGCCCTCCCTCTCCCAACACATAGACTCGTTGTCCAGGCCGTACACGGCTGGCGAAGAGCGCCTGGCTGCTGAGGGTCCCTGCCTGCGACTGGTTGTGTTGGGGGGCCACAAAGAGGAGGTGGGCAGCCGTCAGCAGCAGCCGGGCCCGAGGCTGCCGTGTCTCAATGACATAGAAGAGCTTGTGAGAGCCGTCCTCCCGGTCAAGGAAGGTGAGGAAGTCGCTGTAGAGCAGCCGTCCCTCTGCATCGGCAACCAGCACACGGTCCCCAGGGCTCAGGTCCTTCACCAGCTTGGTGCCGCCTTGCTCCAGGTGCACTGTGGCCGAGCCAGGGAAGCAGCCCCCAGATTTGGCCGCCACCGAGTTTTCTGTGCAGAGAAAGAGGCACAGCAGGGTTAGAGGGGGCACCCACCAGGTCAGGGATTGGGGCATGAGGGAACACCCCACTTCCCCTGCCACCCCGTTCCGCCTGAGAGGCACAGTTGCAGGACGCAGCCTTGCTCCTCTCCAAAATTCCTCCATCCTCATCTATAAACATGCCCCACTTGCACTCAGCAGGTCAAGTGATAGTTCCCTTTCTGCCAGATTTGAGCCGATGCATCTCCCTGTAGGTTAGGATTTACAAGGGTGGCATGTCTCATTAAGGAAATATTCCTGCTGAGAAAGCTGTTCCAGAACAAATCTCTTCTGGAAGAGCTTCCCACTTGACTACTGTTTGCCCTGCACCAACACCTGATGACAGATAACTCACAGGCTTTTAAAGCAGGGTGGTTTTCCTGGCATAAGTTTTCTCCTCTGGGTGACTGTCCATGCTCACAGTGCTCGGGGTCCCCACTCAGCTCTTACTGAAGGACCCCATCTTGGGCAGCAAACAGCAGACAGCAGGAGGAGGCTTTGCCACGAGGAGCACAAGAATTTGCCCACTGCCTGAGTGGAAAGCATCTCCCTAGATAGCATCTTCCTTGACTTTCCCACCCAACTGGAAGAAGAATGCTGTTCCGTGCCCCAAGGTGTCCCTGGAAAGCCCCATGCCTGTTCCAGACCCAAGAACAGCCCTCCTTCACCTCCTCCAGCTCTTGAAGCTACTCAGTTTAGATACAAAATGTTGTTGCCAGCTACTGCTGCTTTCCAGTGGTATGAACAATCACAGTCACAGAAAACAAACAGCAATGAGACTTTAAGTCTCTCTTGCAAATCCCCTTCTGGAAGCTGAGCCACATGAGGGGCAGTGGGAGAGGACCTCTGCCCTGTTGCAGGCTGATCTCTGACTTTACCAAGGAACTCTGCAGTGCTCCTAAAAGCTCTGATTTTCTGTATGTTGGGTAGTATCACACAGTATGTGACAGTAGGAAGCATCTTTGCTGCAGCTGTTGACATTCCTTACCCCTCCCTTGCTCTCTCCTGGTTTCTCCCAGTTACTCGCTAAGCCAGTTTAGAGTCCTGGTGATTTATCTCCTAGAGGTGGTTAGATTTTATATTTTGCCTCTGTGGTTGGTACTAAAGCTCTTATGATTTAAATAAATCCTTGGAAGGTCTCCTAATGACTTTCTCAGGAAGGACAGGAAGGGTGAAAATTAGACCGTTATTGATTTGCTAACGACTTTATCACTTCTCCTTCAGAAATGAAGCAGTGAGATCTCTAAGGCCTCTTCAGGGAGGACATGGCAACAAACAAGCTATGTGCTTTATGCAGAGCCCTCCGCCAGCAAACTACACCTTCCTACAAGCCGGCGGTAAAGGTCTGGCTAGAGCTTTGTTTGCATATTCAGGGACTTGATGAATAGATCTAGTAGTGTAGCAGCTCTACAAACATACCACTGAACTGGCAGAGGTGTGAAAATCTGCTTCTTTGAGCAGTGCTTGTTTGGGTTCTCTAATTAAAATCCAATAAAGGATCAGCATTGTCATTCTGATTCATGTAATAAATGCAGCCACTCTTGGAAGAGAGGACACTTCCATTTTTTTCCCAGCTTCTTCCCCCCTTTCCTCCCCCTCCCTATTTGTTCAGGTGCAGAAACCCTATGTGCCAATTCACACACATACTCTCCAAAAAACCCAGGACCTTCCAAGCACTATTTGCACAGCAGAGCCACTTTTCCAAGGCACTCAAGATCTGTATTTGAATTTTAAATGTAGAAGCTTGCTCTAAATACTTGCTGTAGCGCATTATCAATGTCCCTTTTACCACCCCTGCCTCTCCCTCCTCTGTCCTGGTGACAATAATTCAGGCCTTGGGGGAACTCTTCTTTGCATTCCAGTCTCCAGGATCATACTTTTTGCAAACAGAGAACTAGATAAAGAATCTTCCTGCCTGGCATTATGGGTTTTAATCTTCTCATAAGATGCTCTGTCATGAAGCGAGGTTTGGACAGTTTGAAATCAGGTTGAGAGGGTGGAATTCAAGCCTGCTGCCTTGCAGCCCGCATGGTACAGTCACACGACCCTTCCTGACACCCTCTAAATATTGCCCCCAAGTCCATGTGTGCCGAATCTCAATGAGCAGCTTGGGGTTACTCCTGCCCTATGAAACACCCACTGGGGTGGATTAGGGGGTGCGCTTGGCCTAAGGTCATCACACACCACAATCGACACCTTGAGCTATAAAGCTCATCTTTGCTATTGAAAGGGATGTTTCATATCACCGCAGGGCTGACAGCTTTGCAGGGCCTCCTTTTGCCTAGAAAGGACCAGGGAGCTGAACAAAAGCCATAGCAGGCTCTCAGGACAAAGCCCACATGGGCTAGGAAAGGTGCTACCTCTGCTCAGCCCCGGGGAGGTTTGGGCTGGATCAGGGGGGATAAACCCCTCTTGCAAATCCTCTCTTGCAAATCCTTGCCATGCCTGTTTCCCCATCGTGGGACTGCTGGTTTCGAAGCAAACGGCTATATTTAAAGAAAGCCCATTATTTTGTTTTGCAACCCAGTGATTCCTGAAACTTCCAGCAGGCTGCTGGGCTAGAGGATGTTGTATAAAGCGCTTTAGCTGCCATGCAGGCGGGTGGAGGGAGGCGGGGGGGGCGGACTGGCACTTGCCAGACGTTTTGCTTCCCCCCCCCAAAAAGTGTTCAGTGTCAAGAAAATGAACTCTGCGAGCCGGGGATGTCTTGCGAGCTGTTCCCAGGTTGAGACAGCGTGTGGCGTTGTAAGCACAGGGGAGGGGAGGGGAAAAAATTATATGTATGTGTATCCCTATCTGGGAATTTCCTAGCGACTACCGCTGAAGAACGCAGGGGACCACGTTAGTTATTTATTTTCCTGGAGATTAGCGATCGCGAGTAAGGGCGTGCAGCCAGCGGGGCGGCTGGAGACGGCCACTAGTGTTTGTGTTGAACATGCTCTTTGGATGGGGAAACCATCAGATCCCTCGGGGGGAGGAGAAGGGTGTGTGGCTGCGGCGCAGCGCTCGGCGGAAGGCTGGGCAGGCAAATCACCCAAATAAAAATGCTGTCCAAAAGTGCTGCAGCTGGCTGGCCTTTTTTTTTTTCTTCTTTTTTCTTTTTTTTTTCCCCTTTTCCCCTTTTTTTTATAACCCCTCTTTCCTTCCTTCCTTCCTTCCTTCCCTAACAGGCTGCTCCATCGGCGGCCCAGCTCCATATCCCCGAGGGGGTTCCACACGGGTCGGACAGGGCTGATGGGCACCTTGCAGGGACGGCGAGGAGGGAACCCGGACGGCATTAGAAAGGGCTGAGAAGGCTTTGGGGGGCTGAGCCGTGGCCCGGAGGTGGCCTCCACACACCCTTCGACGTGCCCCTGGGCAGGCTGCCCGCCTTACCTGCTTTGACGGAGCAGTGGATGTGCGCCTTGGACTCATAGTAGACCCAATCGAAGCCGGCCTCGACGGCCAGGCGGGCCAGCATGCCGTATTTGCTGCGGTCCCGGTCCGAGGTGGTGATGTCCACAGCGCGGCCCTCGTAGTGCAGGGACTCTTCGGAGTGGTGGCCGTCCTCGTCCCAGCCCTCTGTCACCCGCAGCTTTACCCCGGGCCACTGATTCATCACCGAGATCGCCAGGGCGTTCAGCTTGTCCTTGCAGCGCTGCAGGGCACACGGGGAAGGGCGCATGGCGGGGGGTGCTGCAGCCAGGGCAGGCACCCCCTTCACCATCTATTCCCCCCGCCACGGTAGCAACCTGCCCTCCCTCCCCAGCCAAACTGGCCTAGTCGCCCCCTTCTATCCCTCCCCTTCAAACATGCCGCACGATGCTCAGCCCTGGCTCGGCCAAGCTAAGCATCTTCTTTCCCGCCGCCGGGGAGAACAGGGAGGCAGGTGAGGAGGAGGAGGGGGGTGAAATTTAGGGACACTGGAGCAAGAGGGGTTGAAACACCGCAAAGACCAAGAGGGACGGAGTCGCCCCTTCCCCCGGCACCTGCCGCAGGGACAGGGGGGACCCCCAACGCCACCTCCGGCCCTGGGGTGTGAGTGTGTCGCTCAAAGCCACCTGCATGGAGCAAATTCCTGTCGCTAAGTGCCCTGTCCCCTTTCCGAGAGCAAAGTTTCTGACGAGAACAAACACTCGCCATATATCTCGGAGTCACGGATTCCCTCCCGGAATGTCTCTCCGCGTCTTTTCAGCTTAATTCTGTGTTGAAAGGGGTCTCAATACATGTTAACAGCCTTTATGTGCTGGAGGGAGGGGTGGGGTTTTTTTTCTCTCCCTTCGCCCATCACTCATTAGAGCCCTCAAAGCAGCATGGGCTGGGAGCATTCACTCCGCTTCAAACATACATCGGCGCTCGCCTACAAAGCCGAGCAAATCCATACAATAATACAGCTCTTAGTGGGAAGATGAAAAGCAAGGGAGGGCCAAGGAGGGAAGTTAAGCGAAGCAGGGATGCTATGCAAGCCAGGAGACTCTTAGTGTGGAGTGAAACGTTTCCAACTCTGTAGAGAAGCACAACAGGGTTTGCCATCGCCCCTTCGGAGCCACCGGCCTTTCCCGGGGCCTGCAGTACCGGAGTCCTGAAGGGACAGAGCAAAGGGGGGGGGGGGGAGGGGGGAAGGAAAGGGAAGTGGGTACAGCTGTGGAGGAGGCTGAGAGCTAAATGAAACCCTGAAAATTTGGTGAGAGGGGGGATCTTATCTTAGCCAAGGGCGGGGGGGGGGGGGGGTGGTGGAGCAGAAATAGACATGCCAGCGGGTAGGGAAAAAGAGCTCGTAGATCCTCGGAAATAGGAAATCAGCACCAAAAGCATGGAAAAGGGCTTGGCTAAAGGTGCACAAGTTGTGCCAACTTCCCCCCCCACTTCCCCCTTTTGAGAGGAAAATAACTCGCTGATATACGGGAAGTAGTTCGCTTGGTGCAGATATCAATGTGGATTACAGCCCCGACGGGATGCAATGAGCTGCTCTTCCCTCGCTTTTCCTGGCCTGACCGGGATGTTCGGCCGTCTGCAGGACCATTCCCTCACGTGTGCTCCCAGCACACATACTAACACACCGCAAAGGCCCCAGCAAGGCAAAGCTCCTCCATCACCCCGACGACGCTACTTTTAGGGACGTGACAAGGTTGTTCAACAAGAAAGTTCCCGGGTGTCTATTAACAGTCATAAAAAGCAATTCCAGCAATACACAAGTTCCCAAGAGATATAAAATGCAGTCGCGAGCTCACTTTGGACTCTCTGGCCTACCGTTTTATAGAAAGAGCCGAGTGTTTGGGGTACGGCACTGTTCCCGGCAGCAAAGCGCAGCAGCACAAGGAAGTTGAATTTAATTTGTTTTCCCCTCTCTCTCCCCCTCATACACCTGAGCGGATGGACATGTTCCTCCGCAGAGTTACAGGGGGAAGGGAGAGAAGGATCAAACGTCTCAGCTACTGATAAGGCAACAGCCCTGCGCCTCAAGGTGATGTCTTGGCCCGCTGCTGCGCAGGGAAGGCAGCAGGCAGCCGTGCGGACAGCGGTGCGGGGTTCTTCCCGCTCCCGGCCTGCCAGCACCAGCTCCCGGCTTCAGGCGAAATAAAGGAGAAACGATCTCCTAAAAGGACTTTCCTCCCTTTTATACTGCCTGAGCTGGATTGTCAGAGTCAAAAGCCGTGAAGCCCAGACTATTTATTAATTCATTGGGTCGTGTGCCACAAATCAAGCCCAATTCTGTTCAGCCACCGTGAAGCTCAGCAGGGCTGCCTCCACTAGCGCTTTGTGTGGAGGCAAAGTTGTTCAACAAGCCCTCTCCTGCCAGCTCCTAATCTCTTCACAAATGAATTGCTTGAAGGAAACACTTAACAGGTACCTGTCAGTGTAAACAACCTGGTGGGCTTCCTAAATGCCAAGTTGATCTCTAAATTCCTCACATCACGCACCGGTTGTGTGCCTGCATTACACGAGATTGCTATTTTATTTCATACAAATTCCAGCTTTATCATACTGACCTGGCCTCCTTATCTCTCCCCAGAATCCAGCCAATGGCTGGGGTGGGGGGGAGGGAAGGGAGGAAGGGGGGAACCTTCAGCAAACTTCTGTTGTCACCTGCAAAGTTGAGAACCTGACTTACCTACCTCTGTTTGCGTTTTCTGCCCCCCTTCCTTCTGGAGTTAATATTAACTGGCGGCTAATGCATTCGGCAACTATTCTGCAAGTTTAAAGATTCTATTCAAGAAAGGTCTCTCCATGGTTGAAGGGCTCGCGAAGCAGGCGTTTGAAGGCTGGGATTTAACGAGAGGTCGCTGGCCGGGGGAGAAAGAGAGAAGCAGGGCAGGGATACCGGCGGCAGCACCTCGGGGAGCTGCCGGCTCGGCAGTGCCCGGGGAGGAAGTGGGGGTTCAGGGCGACCCTTCCGCCCGCTCCCCAGCCGCGGTCCCCGCCTCGCAGGGGGGAGACGGAGACTGGCTCGGTTCCCCCCACACACACCTCGCTTCCTCTCTTTGCCACCGGGTTCCAGGCGTTACGGCCTCCCTGTCCCCGCTGCCTTCAGCCCACCTCCCCCCTTTGTGTCTAAGGCACGGGAATAAGCACTGAAGGGGGGGGGGGGGAGAAAAAAAGTATTTGTTTTCGTTTCGTTCGTCTGAGGGAAGTTGACAGAAGGTCAGGAGTTCAGACGCTGCCAGCTAATGCAGCGAGAGCGGCCAGCCGCGGAGCCGGCGCGGCGTGCCCCGGGAGAGCCGCCGGGCCGGGGTCAGCCCGCCCGCCGCCCCGGCCCGCAGCCCACCTCTCCCGGCCGGCTCCCGGCTCCCCCCTTCCCCGCCGCCCCGCTCCGCCGCGCACACGCATCCGCGCAGGGAGGGATGCGCCGTGCCCCGGCGGGAGCTCGGCTCCCGCGGAGCCGCCGCCGCCGGGCTGCGGAGGAAAGGGCGAAACCCGAGCCGGCGCGATCGATACGCGAGGGGAGTAAGTGGAGCTGAAAATGCGAGAGATGCTGCTGGCGCGCCGCACGCCTCTCACCGGAGGCAGCGAGGGAGGGAGGACCGCGGGTGCGCAGAGGGACGCGGACAGCGCTGCGCCCGAGCAGGGCACCGGCACCAGCTCCGCTCCGCACCCCTGCGCGGGGCAGCCGAGAGCGAGCAGGGACGCGCGGCAGCGCTGCGAGGTGCGGTGCGATTTAAGGTGGTCGGGAGGAGATAGATGGTGGCGGCCGCCGGTCCCTCGCCCCGGGAGACCCGAGAAACGTGCGGAAAATCAGGCCGAGGAACGGGGAGAGTTTGGGAAATTCCACCCCCCACCCCCTCTTCCCCGCGTCCACTCCCCGCCTAGTCCTTCCCGGCGAGTCCTGTTCTAGCACTGAAGGTGGGGCTTAAGTGTATTAATATTAAAAAAGCGCTGTTGACCTATATTTGGAGGAAACCCATTTCCAGTGTCTAGATTGCATGTAGTTTCAGAAACTCCGGGATTGGCAGAGCAATTGACTTCACCAAGCTCTCTGTTGAGCATGAATAATAATTATGAGGTGACTCTCGGAGAGGTTCTCGCTCCCTCTCCCTTTCTCCTTCTCTCTTTTTTTTTTCTCTTTTTGTATAAAATGGTTCCGCAATCCGATTCCACCCGAGATCCAATATTTACCCAGTTGTAAACCTTGTGCCATCAGATTTTTTAAAACAGAAGGTGATGCAATGCCGATAAGTTGCAAGTCCCTCCCCTGTGGAAGTACCAGAGCATTGGTTGCGAGCATCCTTAAAGAAATATCAATATATTTACGCTCTGATGGGCACAATAACAAATGATGGTATTGCAATACGAGCTGTAATAATACGGAATCAGGAGAGGAATGGTCGATCCGGCTTCAGCTGCCTTTTGTGAGTGCACGACTGCATGCCTACTATATTTAGAATATGCTCGCGAGGGGAAAATAATAGTAATAATGAAGGGTAAAATGAAATGAGGAAAAAAAGGGAAAAGAAATAAAATAAGATCTCTCTCTCTATATATATATATATAAGATCAAGCCAGCAGGCGTAGCAACCGAGGAGTACGTTTGTAATAATGAGTGGGTGGCCTGGCGGTCACTATACACTTGGGGTCCTCTGTGCTGTTTGCAATTCGTTTGATCAAAGTGCATCCTTGGGGACAAATGCAAACAGCAATCTCTAACCAAGTTACAGGGAACGCCATGGCACGGTAATGACTGTAAGTATCACACAGATTCCCCCACCGAACAGCGAGATAGCTCCAGCCCCTGCTAACTTGTCTGGAGAGATGGTATTTACATTCAATGGGGGGAACTAGCCGAGTTTGGAGGGGCGGGGGGAAGAGGGGGAGAGGGAAAGGGGGGGCTTTCAAAAATACTAAGACAGATGCGTCCTTTAGGATTGCTCAGAGAGGTTAACAAACACAAATACAGGTATCTCTGTGGCTCTACCTGAGTCATCAGTCTGTCAGCTCCCGTGTTCTCTTCATCCTTAAAAATAATGTCAGGGTTGTAATTTGGGGTTAGTTCTTTAAATCTCTCGGAGTTTCTTGTGATCTTCCCTTCATATCTTCCACTGGCCCCTAGGGTCTTCTCTGCCACATTGGGAATAAACTGCTTATAGGCTAAAGGGGTCAGCTTTTTGGGGTGTCTCCTTTTTCCAATGCCCCTGCCTGGTCCACAAGTCAGCCCAGAGGAGACTAAAAGAGCGCAGATGAAGCCCACCAAGAGAATTCTTGTCAACAGCAGCATTTCGTCCATTGAATCCAATTACTTCAAAGCTTTCTGTGCCTATCCCTGGCTGTCTCTCTAGAGCTCTCTCGCCTCCTATGTCCTTGTCTGCTTTCTGAATCGTATACTATCCACCGATCCCTAGCAAGACAGGTGCTGGAATGGCAGGCTTTAGGTCGCTGATAACGGAACACATCGGAGTTTGGTCGGGAGACAGCAATCGAGAGACAAAAAAAGGGTCTGATTTTAATGGTAGCAAAGCAAGACGCTTGTGAGAGGAGTCTGCCTTTAGTTCTATATTATAGCTGCCAGGGCCGCGAGCTGATTGGCCAAGGCGAGACAAGCTTGTCTTCTGATGTTTTAACCCTCAAAAAGGCAACAAATTCTTGAAAGATTTTTTTTTACCTCCTTATACCTGAAGGGCTTGGAGCTGAGCGGGGTGGAGATCGCGCTTTCTTGGGATAACATCAATTACACGCTGGTTTTTCTTTTTTTTTTTTCTTTTTCTTCTTCTTTTTTCTTCCTTTTTTCAAAAACTTTCTTGGCAGAATGGTACATTTGTCAGCAAGAGGAACAGACGCCTCTGTGGAAGAAGGGGGGGGGGGGGAATAAGATTAGCAGCCTCCCTCAGTACAAGTCAAGTTTCTAAGGGCAGTTGCGGTTAAATAAAATGCCGAATTATCGGGGAGCCGTGCAAATAAAAACGCATTGGGGAAATATTAACGCCCGGGGAGGGGGGGAGGGGGGGTATAGGTAATGCCATTTAAGAGCGCACCCACCTAAAGGGCTTTATAACAGGTTTCTTCTTCTTGAAAAGGGAGATTGCTCTCCCTCCTGGAGACATACATTTTTAACCACACTCGCCTTTTAGCTGATAAATGACTACTTTAAAGGCAGAAACAAGCCTGATGCGAGGCGGCAGTTATATGAAGTTAGCGCGGCTGACTTGTGTATCACACAGCTGCAGTGGGGAGAGATCTAAATGCCACTTCTCTTTTCCTTTGTAAATAATAAACCCGGGACCATCACCCACTTTAAAATAATGCTGTACCTTCAGAAGTGCATGAAAAGTCATCTGATTAAAAATAGATGCTCTCCTGAGCACGCTGGGGCTGCATTCTTTGTTTCTTGGGTCCAAGGCGAAGAGGAGCGTTTTAGACTCTCACACCTCCTTGCGGGGTGTCATTAAGTTTTTAAGAAAAGCATCGTGTTGAAAGCATCCGCAAACACAATTAACAGAGATCGATCCAAGCAAAGTGAATGGAAAGGGGATAAGTTTAATGTTAAATTAATTGTTATCTCATGCAGCATGGCAAGTGATGTCTTTATCCCGATCTCCAAAAGCTACTAATCAGACAAAGGTGTTGAGAGACGAGCAAAACTGCAGAGATGGGGCTGATAGAGCAGGTTAGACAGAGAAGCAGAGTCCCATATGAACAAACACTTCTCTGCCTGTGAAGAGCTCATTTACTTTTGCTCCTAAGAAAATACAGTTTGTCCAAGGATCTAGAAACTTTCAGGAGTTTTTTTAGGAGTTCTTAAAAATGCCAGGCAGACACGCTGGAGTAATTCAAAGTCCACTCTCTGACACGCTCCTCCCAAATAACTTTTTCTTTTCTCTTTTCTTTTCTTTTCTCTTCTCTTTTCTTTTTTCTTTTTTCTTTTTTTTTTTTTCTTTTTTTTTCCGGCCGGTGCCATCGAGCTGAGTCCTAATCAACTTAAACCACGTGAAAATGGACTTTAAAATTAGCTTTAAAGTGGTAAAAAAGCTGCATATCCGTGAGCTGGAACAAGCAGGACAGGACGGACTTTTCAAGGGATAGTGGTCTTTTTTCACGTGAACTTTACAAAAGAGCCGAAGGGAGTGAGCCGAAGCTCTCACACCGACTCCAACTGGTGCTCTTCCCCCCCTTTTTTTTTTAGCCTACACTTTTCCTCTGCTATTTATGTTTCTTTGTAGAGTTTCAGTGAATCATTGATTTCTCACTCACTCTTCTTTATATTGAAGAGTTTTGACTTGGGAATGGCAGAAAAGTTAGAAAGCCAGCAGCTTGGCTTCTAAGTTTTTATCAACCAACTTAGTTGCAGAAACAAGTTGTAGAACATCTAAATACCTGCTTCATGCTGTTAAAAAACAAACTTCAGTTTTATCTCCCCGTCTGCGTGCATGTGAGAAGACAGATACAAGGAATATATAATTTATACAAAAGAGGGTATGTTCTTTTGATGTGGTTCCTTAAACAGCATGACTTGATATAACAGTTGATTAAACAGTGCCAAGGAATAAAAGCTATTCTTAATGGTGTGGGATACTGCAAATCTTTTATCACCCCTCTTACCTTGTCCCCTCCCCAGGGAAAGATGATCGATATCCCAGGCACTAGACGGGTGGACATCGCAATGAAGAAGTATAGAGAATAAGGATAAACTCCCTCATTATCAGATTGCCATATGTACAAAGCAGTCACCCAAAGATTAACAGGAAAGGAAACGCAAAGAAGGAATTAATTAAATGCAAGTAATAAATGCGGGGGGGGGGGGGGGGGGGTAAAGGGAGAAATCAAGAAAAGTAACTGTGGGAAGCTTGAAATCACCCTCCTATCAAATTAGATGTGAAAGAAAGCAGAGCTGGGGGGTGCGGGGAGGCTCTGCTCAGTTTCAGAGCAGGCTGGTGCTGGCCGCGGCCCCGCCGGGACCTGGGCGGGGGGACCCGGGGGGATGCGCTCCCGCCCGCCCCACCGCTCCCCGGGCCTCCGGGATGCGCCCTGCCTCTCCTACCCACGATAAGGTTTTATTTTTCTTCCTTTTATTTCTTTTTTCCTCCCTCCTATGCCACATTTTCTGGGGAAAACTACCCCCAGAGCCCCCCAGACACAGCCTCCCGTCGGCGGGAGAGGCTCCGCCACACATGTTCCCCACGCTGGTGCCCCGGCCCCGCCGGCCGTGCACACCCACCATCCCCAGCCCCAGCCTGGCCCGACCCACACCCATCCCTGCCCGCCCTCAGGTTGTAACAACAACAACAACAGCAGCAGCAAAAACCCCAGCCAAAGCAGCAGCAACAGCCACTGATCAGGCAGTGGTGCCTTCTTTACAGGGGTTAATGCCTTGGTTGCGGATCATAAAAATCAATGTTGTGTCCTGTTGGCTCCCCAAATCTGCAGGCTACTCTTTTGCTCCCTGGGGAGGCAAGCTGGGGCTGTCCCAGTCTTCTGATGCTCTGCACCTCTCTGCCCATGCTACCACAAACCAAGGCCACTGCTGACTCCCATCTGGAGCAGCCCGCAGGGGTCCCTTCAGGGCTGCCCAGGGTGAAGGTACTGGGGAAGGCCCCTGACTGCACGCTCACTTGCTCCACCACCCCTTTCCCACATAGCCCTGTCCCTTCATCTGGAGCTGCCATCAGGCTCCCTGTTGGGCCCCAGAGCCCTGGTGGGGTGGTGGGGATGCCCTTGGATTATCTGGACCCCTGGTCCTTCTGGGTACAGCAAGCGCCACAGTTCCAGGAGCATCCACCACTGACCCCACAGTGTTTTATCTTTCTTGCTTTTGTAGAAGCACCCATCACAGCCCCATAGCCCTGCTTTCTTTGCTGGCATATAGGCCCTTCCAGCAGCTTTGCCAAATACCATGGCAGCTCTAAGGGTTGTGCACCCTGTGGGTCCATGCCTGGGGCCTTGGGACCACATGGGGCCCAGGCTACAGATGGGCGGATGTGTGTACAACTGGGCCCAGGCCAAGCTATTTGAAAATCTCAGTTATTATTGATCTACTTTTTTTTTTAATTATTATTCTTTTATTTAGTTTTTAAATCTGGACTTGCTGTTGGCTGTTTGCTCTGCATAAAGCTAGGGGAGGGCTCAGACTGCACAAGTGAGGTTGCTCTTTGGCTATTTTAAGCTCTGTGAGTTTTCTTGAGCTGATGTATTTTGATTGATGAATCCCAAAATACAGGATGTTCCCCTCAGAAAATTGGAGAGCTTCGTTCTCGTAGCTCTTTGCACTGGTGGTATTGCAATTTCCATCTTGAAAATCAAGTTAGAAATCTAAGTTCAGAATTCCTGGCCAGCCTGCGACTATACCTGTACAGTGACAAGCAGAACAAGTCTTGTTCCTTGGAACTGCCTTCCAAAAACCCCAAACCTCTGGCATCAACAAGAAAAATTAAGCTCCTGGGTTTCCACCCATTTTGGTTTGACAGCAAAATTCAGGGGGCCACACAGCTGAAGCCTGGTACCTGCTTCAATATGCCCTTAGTTTGGCAGTAATCTATGAGCATTTCTGCTGCAGGAAAGAAACACTATATGCATAAGAAGATGCAGAAAACGGTTGTTTTCCAGAATAACTGTGTCTACAGGCATTGATTTTGCAGTTTTCATAACCATCTATTTGTGGATTAATGCTGATCATTGGCTTGAATATGGTCAATAGAACCTTCCATTACACATGCAAAAAAATATTGTAGGCAGCATGATTCAGAAGACTTTGTTATCTATGTTTTCTGTGTATATTTGCTGCTAATCCAAATTTTAAGGCAGAGTTTCCTGCAGGTTTCTTTATATCCTCAGCAGGGCAATACATAGTGTCTAATTACAGATTTATAGAGAAACTCTTAGATTTTTCTTTTAGGTCTTTTTGCTTCTCCTTGGATAACCCAACATTTTCCCATACCAATAGGTTTTTCTAATTTTCTTTCCTGGATTGTGATCTGCATTCCTTTCCAGCCACTTCTTTCTGGCCATGACTGGGGAAAATCCCATCTGAGGTGTTTCTGTCCATTCGGGTAAGGAGGGAGGGAAGCAGCCGCTAGGGGAGCTCCATGTTGGGAGTAACCTCCGAGCATCTTCCTCACAGCTTACACAACTTTCTGCAGTCCCCAGGAGTGGAAGTCTGAAAGCACGTGTTAAGTTTAAAACAAAAGAGCAGAAACATACGAAATGGGAAACTTTTTGAGCTTTGTTTCTTTTTTTTTTTCAAAAGCTACAATTTTATAACCAAGTGTTTGAAATATCTTGCTTGTCCCTCTGTACACTGAATTGTGATGTGTGTGTATGTGTGTGTGAGCTTATCCAAGTGGAGGTGAGAAGTTACCACGGCACATATTTCTTAGATTTCTGATGACCTATAAAATGAAGGGATATTGAAATGCAGCTGCTTAAAAGCCAGACATGAGTATGAGAATATGCAGTGTTTAGTGCCAGTTGTAATGCTGACTTGCTTTCCTGGTCATTGGCAGGTGACTTATATCCACATAAACATTTCTAAAAATAAACCTTCAGAAGGAATCATATCTCTGCCTCATTGTTGTTGTTGTAAAAATTAACTGGATTATTAATGGGTAGCATGTTAATTTGGGTTTTGGTTGTTTATCTAAGGAATTTATCTGGGCAGCTGAGTCAATGTTCATTAAAGGTTGTGGGTGTATGAAGAGCCAAAATAGATTTTTTTTCCCATGCAGATCAATACTAACAGGTTCTTACTTGGCTGTCTTGG